GGCCTTACACGATGTGATTATTGCTAAAGCCAGAATAATAATAATCAGCCATAGCCAAAATCACGCATCGTCCAATATCACGCATTCTTTAAAATCACGGGCTGTTCGTGTCACGCGAGGAAACTGCAATCCTGGCCATAAGTTGTTGGGACACCTCCCCTTTTTGAGCGCTAAAACCCACGATTTCAACTACGTCATTGGCTTTTTAGAACAAAAGATGTATAGAAGTAAGTATAATAGAGCCGCCCCCTTCCCCCTAGCAATGCTGCAAGAAAATGAAGCTATTCTTAAGACTAGATCGGATGTGGGAAAAAAGAAAAAAGGGACAATAGAAGGTGGTTAGACAGTTGTGTTGGAACCGAATGTGATTGCTGAAAAATCATTATTATTGGATGAAGACGTGAATATCTATCTTATCGTCTCTTTAGTTCGAGAATACTGTTCTAGGAGGCGAACAATTCTTGAAACGTGGCCATACTGAAGCTATTGTCAAGGTTTTTTTTCTTCAAGATTTTTATCAACATTAACAGGGGGGAGGGGGGGAGGCGAGCTTGCGCGGTCTTGGTCTTGAGAGGCTGCTTGTGAAGTGATCTGCCGTGAACTGTCCCAACACTTTTGACCAGGATTTTAGAACTGTTTATCACAACTGTATAAACCTTTGTGAGGCATAATTTATTTTGATCCACAACATGCTTGTACACGAAAGAGCATTGTTGTCTCTTGGTGTCTTCTCCTACACCTTACATGATCTCAAGGGAGGAAGGGTAGTCTTCACTGCCTGGCGGTAACCGTTTTATCACAAAAAACGGTTGCGGAAGAGACAAGGGGAAGGTGGGGGGGGGTACTTCTGTAACTTTTGGGTAGGTGTGTGCACCCTCACCCTATTTAGAGATGGAGCAAATGAAAATAAATACCGTATTCAAGGACCAAATCCGAAAAATGACACCCTTTCCAAGGGAAAAACAGAACCTAAGAACAGCATGAATGGGCCAACTCTATTTTGTTTCTGTAACATTGGAAGTTTACAAATAATTCAGTTTAAACAGATCATTTGTTTTTCGTTTAGCTGGACATTTTTGCAATTTTAGCTGATATAATTTAGGTACCCTTTCTAAGGATCGCAACTGTAAACAATGCCAACAGGGGCAAAAATGATACCCTATTTAAGGATCACGAACTTCAAAAACCCTGTAGCTTCCCTATCCTGTGGAATGTACCTATATAGCCCAGGGGGTCTCAAGGTAACTTGTTTTAATCCCCCTACCCCTCCCATATAAACTTTCAAAGATTTTGTTGGTTTACCAAGTTATTCAAGAATCCAAAGTGGTTACTGTACAGGGCCGGATCCAGACCTTGAGCTAAGGTGGGGGCCCGGTTTTGTTTTACTTGCCCTGCTGGCTTTTCTTCCGTCTGTCATTCCTTCTTTTTTTACCCAAAATAAGGGGGGCCCAGGCCCCCCCGGCCCCTCCCCTGGATCAGCCCCTGCTGTAGGTCTTCTGAAAAATCCCTGGGGTATTAGAGCTCCCACTTTAAATCCCAGAGAATAATCCCAAAACCCACCCTAAAATGCACTGACCTGAGATATCTTGCAATCCTACTGACATCAACTGGACCAATGTACCAAGCATTTTCAATCAGCTTTTTGACAGTCTTTGCTTAATCGGATCAATATAATGGAACTAATACACCAGTAATTGGAAATGGATTCCAGATTTTTGGTATAACATAATTTTTAAGGCAATCAATATTTCCATGGAAATGATAAACAAAAAAATTGAAAATCTGTAAAACATGAATTCTGCATGAACCAGATGTGATATGGAAAAGCAGATACCAATGGCTTAAACTATGGCGCATTGGGCAAGTAGATTATATACAAGAATGAAACAATTATGAGTTTGATCTGGAGTAAATCAAAAAACATTTCAAATTATACTTTTTGCATCATCATCACCATAATAATAATAATAATAATAAAAATAATAATAATAA